CTTCTGTCTTCCACAGCATTGCAGTACATGGTAAATACATGCATGTTTGCGAACAAAACACTCACATACATAAAATAAAAATACTTATTTAAAAAAACCTCTTGTGTTTTAAAGTCATGTTGATATTCCAAAAAAAGTTTCCATTTAGAGCAGTTCAAATTTTGGACTTAAGAATACTCAGCTGGCAATGCCATCTTAGACAATATCCACACAGACACACACGTTCACCCATGCACATACACACATAGTCCCTCAGATCAGAAACACCTGTGGTCAAAAGCACTTTAAATGACTGATATTCAGTCTTTGTGATCAGCACATCAGCCATAAGGAAGTGATTTAAAGTATTGTCTGTTCTCAACCTGGAGTGTGTATTTGAAAACATCATCTGGTGAGCTCATAAACATACACTGTGACTTTGTCACCCAGACATCCTGGTCTGTAGCCAGATACCTGCACTGTTGCTATGTCCCAAAGGGGAAAATGGCACATTGGCATTCTATAAACCAGTGACTCCCTTATTCACATGCCAGACCACCCTTCCAGGGCACACACAAAAAATGTTTTTCAGACTGGGGAATGAGAGGAAGTTCATTTAAGGGGTGAAAGCCAACTTTGGGGAGGGTCATTTGATAACATGGTGAGGGACCACAGGGAACTCTCTGGTTTCCTACTGTGTGTGTGTCAGGGGCCAGCCACACTGTCTATCTGGGGTTGGCTCACACATGGTGAGGAAACAGCTGCTGGCTCTGCTGGCTGCCCTGGGTAAAATCCAGGGCGCTGTTCCAGCAAGCTTGGCTGTCTCCATCTCGTGATCTCCCCACCCCCAACCCTTACCCCTGGCTGGAGAAACCTTGGCCAGAACACTCTCCTTAACCCATCCTGCACCCTAGCTGTGCCTCAACCAACTCAGCAGAGCTCCAGGAGTTGCTGAAGGCATAGCCTGGACTCCTTCATGACTTTATATGGAAAGTTCAGTGGGGGCCACAGGTTTCTGAGAAAACACCTGTGCATATCCTTGGCAAACCCAAGAAGATTCCATGCTGGGGCAAGAGCATCTGAGGATCCTTGTAGTGCACACAGGTGCCATGGGACCAGCCCCAACTTGTCTGTCTGTGTCCTTTGAAAGCAAAGGACACAGAGCATAGGAACCCTGCTGAGTAACATTCCTTCCAGGATTTCCAGCTGTGGTCCTGTCAATTAAACATAATTGATACTTGACTGCCCTAGAACCTGATCAAACTGGACTCCTCCATTAACAAAACCTGTGTTGTTAAGAGACAATTTTTTTGGATGGCAAGAGCCATGCATTTGCCTTTTCTTAAAGACACTTTTCCTAGAAACTTGGGCCTAGCTACAGAGAGGGGGGGGGAGGGAGGGAGGGAGAATTTATACTCTCTAAAAAGTGCTTTCCTTCAGTCTCCTATAATTTCCCCCTTGTTCTTTTTCAATCAAACATGTACTTCTCCCCCCTTACCATTCCCCAGGTGCTACATGGGGTCAGGCTTCTCTGATAGTCAGCGTGGAATTAGTGATAAAGGAGGCCCCAGGTGCCCAACTCCCCTTTGTTTCCTGAGTTTTCTTGGGTATATCCCACTGGAAAATACCAGCCCTCTCTCAAGATTCCTTCATGTGTCTGTCTCTTGGACATTCCTTGGCTATCTAGACTATACACCATGCAGCCTGACAAGCTTGACAAAGGAACAGGCCAAAAAAAAAAAATGGACCTAGAAATCCTGGGTCCCAGGAACCCAGAGCAGGAATGTCATGGCCTATGGAAAATTCTGCTCTTAGGTGGGGTGGGGTAACACCAGCAGAGGAAAGCTGAGACAAGGCCCTCAAAGGCATGGGATGTAGGGAAGGCACCCATTTTGCCCCACTCCAAGGGTGATACTGATTGTATAGTTTCATCAATGTCCAAGTGTACGTTGCACAAGCGAGTATCCTGGTCCAATGTTTGATCTATACTTGCCAACCATATCACCAAAACCAAGGACCTAGAAGATAACCAGGTATACATTTTCTGTTTTATTTAGTTAGGCAGAGATTTCCCTTGCTGCACAGTATAACATGATGTCTACTGCCTGAAACAATCTTTCAAGGAGATGAAAGGAGCAACTGTTTCAAGACATCCTGTGAGTCAATGTTTTGTGGGGCTGCTGAAGAATTAGCCAGTACATCTCACCCCCAGGATGCAGGTAGAGTTGAAATTTCCTGAATTGTATGTCTTTTCAGGCTTCCCCTCCAACATCAGCAGATCATTTCCAAGTAGGTAATACCCTCAGCTCTGAAGCTCGGCTCAGGCTTCCTGGAGCATCCTAGGGCTCTCTTTGTTGGAGTTGTCATAGCTCCACCTCTCAGTCTCATCACTTGGTACTTTCAAGGCTGCTTGATCAGCCACCTCCCCAGCAGCTATTGCTCAAAAAGCATGCAGTCTGAGGCCGACTTTTCAAGTGAATAATATTTAAATAATTTGGAATAATTCAGCAGTTCTCTAAGCAAGTGTAGTTTGGGCATTGATACAGCTCTTTGTTATGGAAGTGTGTGTGGTGGTTGTGGTGACTGAGACTCAAATACAAGTAAAACATCACTATTATTCCTGAAAGAGAAATGTTATCAAAAAAGAAACCAAACGCACGAGCACAGTGTATTACAGAATATCTTATCAATTTACTCTGAATTATTTAAATGCTATTCACTTGTAAAGTCCAAATGCTGTTCAGAAAGTAGCACTTGTTTTTTAGAAGGAACCTGAATGCTATGTGTTACCCCTTTATCTGTAGATTTCAAAATAGTCTTCTGATGTGGGATGTCCTTCTGTATGCTGAAAATGTGTGTTGCTTTTATTGGCTGATAAATAAATCTGTTTTGACCAATGGTCAGGCAGAATAGAGCCAGGTGGGAATTCCAAACAAAGATACAGAGAGAAAGAAAGTCGAGTCAGGGAGACGCCATGGTGGAGCATACCAGTAAGCCATAGCCTCGTGGCAATACACAGAATAGTATAAATGGGTTAATTTAAAGAGAGAGCTAGCCAGTGATATGTCTGAGCTACTGGTCAAACAATTATAATTAGTATTAATGCTCAGAGTGTTATTTCATAAGTGGCTGCGGGAACTGACAGGCAGAACAGAAAGACTATCTATAGTCTTCCTTGCTGAAACTGGATTGAAGATGCCAACAAAACCTACTATCAGTAACCGTGCCTACCTGAAATCAGGATTTAAATGAGTCCACAAGATTCCAGATAAATGATAAGCAGGTATTTATTAGGAAAGCACTTACACAAATAATAGTAAATAACCACCACAGTCTTTCTGCTCTTGAAGATACAAGATACAGTTTCTGCTCTTCCCAATGCTCTGACCACAACCTAAGAGAGCGAGCCAGCCCCTTCTCTTCCTTATAAGGGGTCACATCTGCACACCTGAAGTCACTTGGAATATGTTACATTATATCCATTGTGTTAACTACATGTAGCAAATAGGGTGTTTCAATAAAATGGAATGGTATAGAAAGGCAATTGTCTTTGCCAGGCTACTAGTAGAAATATTTACTGCCCCCCCACTGTGTGTGTGTGTGTGTGTGTGTGTGTGTGTGTATGTGTACTATCTCCAGACATTGGATAACTGTGTCATTCTTACTTAGAGGTATCTGTAAGGGAGGTTGTGATGCATCCATACTATCCATACTCCAAGGCCATATGGAGAGATCATTACCTTTGCTTATCCTGGTTCTGCGATTTTCTGCAGAAGGTCCAGAGAAGAAGCAGGTTTATGAGATTTGGTTTCTGTCATTCTTGTTCTACAGCAGGTGGTGCCTCTCAGCTTCTACGTGTTCCCTACGTAGATGCTGTAGGAGGCAGGAACTTTGAAACAGTTCCATGCCAGACATCTCTGGGGGTGGTTTAACCTGAAAGTCAGCAGCATTTTGGTACTGTTTCCTCTGGGGGGGACAAAAAAATCCATACAATCGCTGTTCCTGGCAAGGACAGTATATTCAACCAAGGTCAGTAGAGTTAACTACTGAGCCGGGTGAGTGTGGCTGCTGGAAGGGGGAGGACCTGTGCCCCCTGTTCATAATAAGGTACAGCGTTACATACCTTGTTAGCTCTGTTCAAGCACGGGTCCTCCCCCTTTCCAGCAGCCACACTCACCGGAGTCAGTAGTTAAAGGGCGTTTGGGGTTGTCACAAAAGCTGAAAAATAAACGCCCTATTTCATTTTAGTCAAACAGACACTTGTGTCTCAAGTTTGTCTTTTATTTGAAACTCAAAGCGAATCACAGTGGACTGGATATACCTTACTAGCGACTTACCTTTTTCTGCTCCCACCCTACCAGGTTCAGCGCTTGTCTCCATCCCTCCCTCCCCTTGGTGAACTGCTCAACAAGACGGTGAGATGATGGACTTACTAAAATCATTCGAGTCTTTGCAGATTTCTATTCTCACTAGCTCATTTTCTCGTTTGACCTGTCACTGCACCTCCCTTCCCATTGGATGGCCAGTGAGGATACCGACTCGATTTTTCCACACTGCTAGCAGACAGAGCAAATCCCAAAAATTTACAGTTTCTGAACACCTTGGGGAAAGGGCTATTTTCAAAAACTTGGGTTGCATAGGCAAATAGCAAGCAACGGCACCTATCTCTTGCATGTTTTTATTTTCAGGGACTGCCCCCTAAGGGAACCGTCAATTAAATGGTCCCCTATTCTGTATTGTTAATAAATGTTAATACCCCCCCCCCAACGAATCCAGGCCTGAGTACACTGGAGCCTGAAAACTTTCAAGATCTCTGCAAGCTCAGGCACAAAGCAGCACGGCCCTTCAGGAAGCAACTAACTTCCCAGGTAGCTGTGCAAGTCATTGTACACAGGCACACGTTTAGGGCCTACTTCCAAGGGTTTAAAACTGCAGAAGAATCGGGCTGAATCACCAGATCTGGCCCTGACACAATCGCTGCAGCCGTCCCACATAGGAACTTTCTTCATGGTCTTTCCCAGAGCCAGATCCAGTGGATATTCTGTTTAAAAACCTAAAAGGGGCGGTGCCTCTCCTTTGACCCAAGCAAAAGGACACCAGAAACCCAAACACTCTCAAAGGACTGAGCTGGCGTCTTCTGACGACAGTTCACCGACGGCCTTCCGCAGGCAACCTTAGGCTCCTGCAGACTTGGAGCAGAATGCTGGGGGAGTCGGTGCTGCCTCAACCTCCCGCAGGGTGGCACCGGGAAGAGTAGGTTAAATGGGTAAGACGAGGCTCGCTCCCTCTGCTCTGAAGCCGCCAGTGAACTGGCCCAAAATAAAAAGGTCTCTGTCTGCAATCCCCGTTTGCTCGCCCGGTAATCCACCCCCGCCCCCAGCCCGCGCGCCGACCCGTACAGCTGTTTTTAATCCCTACTTTTCTCACTTGGCGTCCGGGCTGTGGCTGACCAGACGCGAAGCCACTTAGTGTTTCCTCCTCCCCCAGCCGGGGTCTGTCCTGCCTCCGCCGTCTCCTCTTTCTCCGCCTGCATCCCCCGGGGGGCAGAGTGTGGGAAGAACGAATTTCCGCCGGGTTTGTTCGCTCCTCGCAGTCATGGGTCCCTTCCGGACGCAGCCTGCGCGGCCCCCAGGCTGCCCACTTCGGCTGCGCTCCGAGTCCCTCCGGGCCGCGAGCGAACAGGCGCTGGAGACGCAGGCCTAGCGGCCGGTGCTCTGCAGCCAAGCCGCACCCCAGCAGCTCTTGGAAGGGATCCCGCCTACAGAAGGGGAATCCGCTTGGCGGGGAGAATCCGCGCCAGGGAATCCAGCTCTCCGGACTCCAGAGCAAACAAAAAGCACCAACTCTTGCTCGCTCCTCCCGCCCCCGACGCGCATCCGAAGAAACAGTTTTCTGCAGAAATGCAACAAGTAGCACCCGGGGCTCGTCGAGCGCCCAGCGCCTCCTGATTTGACTCCGCGAAGCCCGCCTGCGGAGACCCGGACCGGTCACCGGGACAAAGGGTAAAGGAAGGGCTGGACCCAGCAGCAGAGAAGTCTGAGACAGGCATTTTAGCGACTCTGGCCCTGCCGAAGGGAATGCAGAGGAGACACAGAGTCGGCCGGCCCAGAGGACGACCCGGCCTCAGCGCGCTGAGCGGGCGGCGATGGAGGGTGTCGGCGCCGTGCGCTTCTGGCTCATGGTGTGCAGCTGCCTGGCGTTCCCGCCGCGGGCGGCCGAGTCCGTGTGCCCCGAGCGCTGCGACTGCCAGCACCCCCAGCACCTCTTGTGCACCAACAGGGGGCTCCGCGCGGTGCCCAAGACCAGCTCGCTGCCTAGTCCCCAGGACGTCCTCACCTACAGCCTAGGCGGCAACTTCATCACCAACATCACCGCCTTCGACTTCCACCGCCTGGGGCAGCTCAGACGGCTGGACCTGCAGTACAACCAGATCCGCTCTCTCCACCCCAAGACCTTCGAGAAGCTCTCGCGCCTGGAGGAGCTGTACCTGGGGAACAACCTCTTGCAGGCGTTCGCTCCTGGCACGTTGGCTCCCTTGCGCAAGTTGCGCATCCTTTACGCCAACGGTAACGAGATTGGCCGCCTTAGCCGCGGCTCCTTCGAGGGCCTGGAGAGTCTCGTGAAGCTACGGCTCGACGGGAATGTGCTGGGGGCTCTGCCTGATGCAGTCTTCGCTCCCCTGGGCAACCTGCTCTACCTACATCTGGAGTCTAACCGGATCCGCTTTTTGGGCAAGAATGCCTTCGCCCAGCTTAGCAAGCTTCGATTCCTCAACCTCTCTGCCAACGAGCTGCAGCCCTCCCTGCGCCATGCGGCCACCTTCATCCCTCTGCGGTCCCTCTCCACTCTCATCCTCTCCTCTAACAGCCTGCAGCACCTCGGCCCCCGCGTCTTCCAGCACCTGCCACGCCTTGGCCTGCTCTCCCTCAGCGGCAACCAGCTCACACAGCTCGCGCCAGAGGCCTTTTGGGGCCTGGAGGCCCTGCGAGAGCTGCACCTTGAAGGCAACCGGTTGAGCCAGCTTCCCCTGGCCCTGCTGGAGCCTCTGCACAGCTTGGAGGCGCTAGATCTGAGCAGCAATGAGCTTTCTGCTCTGCACCCCGCCACCTTTGGCCACCAGGGCCGTCTACGTGAGCTCAGCCTGCGCGATAACGCGCTCAGAGCCCTTTCTGGAGACATCTTCGCTGCCAGCCCGGCTCTCTACCGCCTAGATCTAGACGGCAACGGTTGGACCTGCGACTGCCGGTTGCGGGGTCTGAAGCGTTGGATGGGCGACTGGCATTCTCAGGGGCGCCTTCTTACCGTCTTCGTGCAGTGTCGCCACCCCCCGGCCCTGCGGGGCAAGTACCTGGATTACCTGGATGACCAATTGCTGCAAAATGGGTCTTGCGTGGACCCCTCGCCTTCCCCTACAGCAGGCAGTAGGCAGTGGCCTCTATCCACAGCCACAGGGAAAGGGATGACGCCCCCTGCAGGGGGTCTTGCGCAGGAGCTGCCACCGCAGCCCCAGCCCCAGCAGCGGGGGAGACTTCTACCAGGAGTGGACTGGGGCGGGGCTGCCAAGGAGCTACTGGGCAACCGCAGCTCACTAAGATTGAGCCGGAGGGGTCCAGGCCTGCAGCATCAGGGCCCCTCCACCGCTGCTGCTTTGGGTCCTGCCCCACAGTCCCTGGACCTGCACGAGAAGCTTGAGAGAGCTCGTCCCACCCGTGCCAATCTTGCTCAGGCGGAGCCCACCTCGACGGCTGAGCCCACCTCCGGGACACCATCTGCCAGGGACAGCTGGCAGCGCGCAGCAAGGCAGCGCCTAGCCTCTGAGCAGCAAGAGCGCGCAGTCCTGTCCGACGGTGGGGTGGGCTTGCCACCGCTGGTATCTGACCCCTGTGACTTCAATAAATTCATTCTGTGCAACCTGACGGTGGAGGCGGTGAGCGCCAACAGCGCCTCTGTGCGCTGGGCGGTTCGCGAGCACCGCAGCCCCAGGCCGCTGGGCGGCGCACGCTTCCGCCTGCTCTTCGACCGCTTTGGCCAGCAGCCCAAGTTCCAGCGCTTCGTCTACCTGCCCGAGCGCAGCGACTCGGCTACGCTGCACGAGCTGCGCGGGGACACTCCTTACCTAGTGTGCGTGGAGGGCGTGCTCGGGGGCCGAGTTTGCCCCGTGGCCCCCCGGGACCACTGTGCAGGGTTGGTAACCCTGCCAGAGGCAGGAAGTCGAGGCGGCGTCGACTACCAGCTCCTGACCTTGGTCTTGCTGGCTGTCAACGCGCTGCTGGTACTCCTGGCTCTGGCTGCCTGGGGATCTCGGTGGCTGCGGAGGAAACTGCGAGCCAGGCGGAAGGGAGGGGCCCCTGTCCACGTTCGTCACATGTACTCCACCCGACGGCCGCTGCGTTCCATGGGCACAGGTGTGTCTGCGGACTTCTCGGGCTTCCAGTCACACCGGCCCCGCACCACTGTGTGCGCCCTCAGCGAGGCGGACCTCATTGAGTTTCCCTGTGACCGCTTCATGGACAGCACTGGCGGTGGGGCTGGGGGCAGCTTGAGGCGGGAGGATCACCTCTTGCAAAGATTTGCTGACTAGATTTAGTGCCTCGGTGTGGCAACCATCCCGCTGGCCTTGAGGAGCCTCTCCCTGGCCCGGTGCCATCTCAGAGGAAGACCTGTTTTATTACACCTCTTCTTTCGCCCTTTTGTGCCTTTGCTGAAGCCAAGGGGTACCGAAAGTGAGTCTGGACGCCACCATTCACGTCCCAGTACTCACAGAGCAAGTGAATAGGTCTTGTTTGTCAAACTCAAGAGAGGGGACAATTGGGTGGTGGGGTAAAGCCTCGATACGCCTAGGGCATGACTCCTGTGTTCTATCAGCAAGTAACTTGGCTGACCTTGAGCTAGAAAGGGTGCTTTACGCTCCCCCGCCATAGCAGGAAGACTCTAGGTTGTAAGTTTGTTTGCTCTATGGTGGAGTACTGCTCCCAGTTAAGGAAGGGGGGGGAACTTAACCACCATCACAAAGGCGCCCAGCAACTGACCTCACCGATCTGGTGGTCTCTGTGAGATGGCAGGGTAAATAGGTACCACACTTTCCCAGGAACCCCTTTCTGTTGGCTGGTAGAGCGCACCGGAAGTCATAAGGTTTAAACCTTTTCCAACTATATGAAGAACATTTAATAAACTGACCAATAAACTCCAAGGCTCTTGTGACTGGACTGGACTCCTACTGTTTATCCTGAACAGGATGTTTTTGACCTTTTGCCGACCTTTGGGTAACTGAGTTTGTTCTCCGGAGAAGGCGGCATGCAATACTTCTCCACTAGGTTTATACCTGTGGTTTTAATGTTGTTTTTAAAATCTATATATGGAAAAAATAGAATGCCAGATTTGATAACAAAACAAAAAATGCAGTATGCATGAAACCGATGACTCCCTAGGGCACCGCAGCCTTCAAGCTCACTTGCCACATTTCTGATAGCACGTCTACATGGTATAAATGGGACTTGCTTCTCATTGCATTTCATCACGCTATTTCTGAGTAGTGTGGTTAGGCAATAAGCACAAGGTGATTGTCAGGCTGGACACTGGGTCTAGTGGTGATATGCTTGTGAGGCTCTAAGTCCACCCCAGTAGCACAAAGCAAAGCAATGGGCAATTGTGCGTTAGTGTAACCTCTGACCACATTACAATAGAAGATAAGAAATTGTGTGAAACAAATGTGAAAAAAATACACAGTAGTGTCTACTTCTACTAAATCCAGAAGATCCTGAGTACTTAACCCTCACTGTGAAATAATTACATGTTTTTATATGTTGTACAAATTAGTTCCTTCAGTAGCCAGTGTTTTACTGTGTTATTAAATCTTACCTTTTAGTGGTAGTTGCATTATTATTTTCTTATGTTTTTTTAAATTTAGGATTAGTCTCCTGCATTTGTTTAGTTGTGATTTTTTTTTTAGCTATTTGGGATACTTTGCATCCCTGATATTTATGATGTCTGTGTTTATATTAAATGTAGTGGTTGGGTTCACATTAATAATTCGTGTGTGGTCCAAGTACATTCACTAAGAGGGTGTACACTGTGGTTACAGTCACCGTGGTTATGGATTTATTAGCAGTGAGGTACTGTGCAGGTCAGCCAGTTCAAGGTGCTACAGCTAACAGTGACTCTTCTGTTTCAGGCCTCAGGTCCCTGAAGGTCCCAATGACTCAGGGAATCCATCACAGTCCAGGGCCCTTCAGCCCGGCCACTCTGTGCTTAGCTCTCGTGAGCCCTGCTGCCTTGTCCCAGCAGCTGAGGGCCCAGGGGTCTAAATGAGCTGAGGGCCCAGGGGTCTAAATGAGCTGGTCTTTGTTTATGTCCGGATGAGTAAATGTCCAGACCACTTAAGCCACAGCTGCTTTTCTGGCAGCCTTATCTGCACGGCCCAAACTTAATAAACCACAGGAAATGGACTGTCATTCCGTGTTTGCTGCCAGGCCTTGTTTTAGATTCCCAGCGTATGGTACGTGGGAGGAGGGAGGTGGGGCTGTTTGCTCCTATTTTCAACCTGCAGTCTATCTGGCACCTTCTGTATAACGCACAATTTTTCATGCACAGCACAGTTGCATTTCTTAGCTGTTTCTTTTAGACAGTGTAAAACTGCGGCCCATTGAAAGTCTGGAAAAAAAAAACACTGATTGGAGCTACCACCTGCCTTTTTCAACTGTAGAATATCACCCAAAATGTTTAAGGCCTGGCTTAAAACAGTTTCACTGAAGTGTCTTTTTCAGTGAGGAATGAATAAATGTTATACGTTGTTATGTTCAGTTATGTCAATAAACCCACATACTAATGGAGATGTCTTGTTGGAACTTCCAAATATTTTGATGCATGTTTAAAATGACAGGATGAGTTTTTCAAAAGCAGTTTTCACTCATACAAATGAAACATAAGCTTGATGTCTGTGAGGTTTTTAAAAATTATTTCCGTTTCATAGAAAATATGGACTTTATCTTAAAGAAATGATTGTGTGAGTTTACATGTAAAGAGACAAGAACACTGTTTTAAAACCAAATGGCTAATCCAGAGTGAAATGTTGCCAAATACCAGTGACAGCAAGGTGGCTAGGTTCCAACAGGTGTTCCCTAACAGCCACACCCTCTGGATTTCATGAACACGGGTTTTAGGGGCTTTTTCTTTTTTTCCAATTACAGCGCTTGTGAAAAGATGAAACTCTTGAAGATAGCAGATAATCTTTGTACAAGTTAGCAGTGTTCAGTTCCAAAGTCACAGTTAGGTCTGGTTCAGTGTAAACATCACTCAGTGAGTGATGGCTTCTACGAAGATGGTAAGGGTGGTCAGGACAGCCTCACTCCCCTGCCACACACCTAATTTCCACTGGACTGCTACTCTGTGTCTAAGAGGCATTTACAGTTGGAGATGAATGGCATTCAAACATCTGAGGGCCATAGATTTATTCAAAACTGCAGACTGTGACCCAGGATGAAACTGGGACACTCAGCAGTTGCTGCAGCAGCCAGACCAACACATTCTCAGTAGGAAAGCGCATCCTTACCAGCTGCATTCTCCTGCAGGAAGTGGCAAGTGGTGTGATGTTTTTTAGATGTTCAGGGCCTAGACATTTCTGCTTCAACATAATCAGAAAGTCAGGTAATGGGATTAAAGGTATCTTTCCCTGCTTCTTTGTCCCAGTTGCTTGAGACTCTTCTACAATTTGATGTAGAATGACAGTAACTGAAATACTTTCTCGTAATTTAAAAAAAGGGGGGAGGATAGGTTTAACCATCAAGAAATGTGTTTATGAAATTCTTGGCATAGTTTGTCTCATCCTTTAAATCAGAATTTAGGGTGCGGGGGCAGCTGGCTTTTCCCTTTTTTTGTTCCATCCTCCACTGCCTTCCCAGGATCCTTTTCCTTTCAGCTCGCTTAAATGTTAGCTTTTCATGCTTTTCTCCTGAGGGATTTTAGGTCACTAAAATCCTTCTTAAGTGGTGGGGTAAATAATGCTCACTTCATGATGCACAAGGAAATTGAGCTATTTGGAGATTCCACTTAAGCATTAATGGATTAATTACTGACATAATTTTGAGAGACTAATTAGAAAAGCCATCATCTGGCTGTTTTACCTGGAGACAGAGTGCCTGAACGGCTGAGAGAATTCCAGCCATGGGTAGTGTGATTTGTCCTTCGCACAGTACCACCGTTTTGTGATTTGACTGTCAAGACAGAATTTAGGTATCATGTCTGCTCTTCTGGACCCCAGCAATCAGGCAGCGTTTCGTCCAGGCTGCTGAACTTTCTGTGTCACAGCCTGTGCTGAATCAGGGGGGTGCCATAGTGTACTGAGACCAGCTACGGCTGTGTGTTCCCCTTTCCATATTATAGTTGGGGTGAAGTAGTGCTCACTCTACAGCTGATGTCACACTTAGCTATTAGCATATGTACACGGCAGCAGGCTGCCACCCTCTGATTCCCTCTTCTTCGAGCCATGGTATCCTTTCAAGGATTTTTACTGTGGGAGATTAAAATACCATCTAATAACAACAAACACCCACACTAGCACTTCTCAGCAAGTTAACAGAACTGCAATGTTTGTTTTCAGCCTGAAATATCTCTGATGGAAATATTCCCCAGTTTATAACTCTAAGTCCTGTCCTCAGACGCAACTACTGCTTGATGTATTGCTTTCTAGTCAAGTTTAGACATAATTGCCAGGAAACATGGAGGTCAAAGGATAACTTGAAAGAATTGGTTCTATCCTTCTGCCACATGGGTCCATCCATCTCACAGGCCCTTTTTAGTCTTTTAGATTGGCAATTACACCTCATTCACTGTCGCTTTGTCTATTCCAGCGTTGTTGTGTATGCATGAGCTGTATGCACTCCGTTGTGTATTGTGACTTTTTGTGTATATACGTGTGCTCAGACAGGAAGGTGTCTGCTTTCAGGTTACCCCCTCTACAGTGCTCCACAGTGGTGGCACAGGGGTGTGGGGGTGCGGTGAGGGGGGTGAGGGAGTAGGTCCTTTCTCTTCCTTGAGGGATGCTTGTGTGTCCTTTCTCATCTATGCCTTCTTGCTAAGCCCTCGCTTCTTAGAGAGAGCTCCACAGGGTTGTGTACTCTGGCTTTTGATGCCAAAGCCATTGACTTCTGTCCGTTTGCTCAATGCATGTTATTTGAATGGAGTTACACTCTGAGAAAACTGGTTGCTTCTCGAAGGCTCTTTGCTTCCTCTCTCAGCCTTCTCAGATCTTGTCACTTTTTTTTCTACTTCTGAACACATATTCACACTCATAACACTCATACACTCATACACACACACTCTCACACAGACACACACACTGCATGCATGCACACATGCATTAAAAATGTTTCTAAGATAGATTTTGATTTGAAATATGTTTTTGATAATTCAACTTCTTTAATAAAAATGTCACAACTAGGTAACTTATAAACTGCTTCCAGTTCTCTCGGTTGGGAGTTCCAATCAAGGCTCTGGCAGATCTAACATTTGGGAGTGGCCTACTTCTCCCAGGTACACAAGGCGAAGTAGCCCAGTCCAAGGCCTCTTCCATAAGGGTCCAAACCCAATCACCAGGCCTCTGCCTCAAAGCCTAAGTATGTCCCAAAGGCCTTACTTCCTGATTCTATTTTCCTGAGGATTACCATTTCAGTGTATGACTTTGGGAGAATATGACATTAGGGCAGTAGTAGGTGCAGTTGATTGCATGGGAGGAGAACTGAAAGTTTTGTGTGCATGAGGCAAGTCTCATCATGTAACGTGGATTGTTCTAGAACTTGCGATCCTTCTGCCCCCACCTCCTGAGTGCTGGGATGACACAGTGGCTACCACCCTGGCAAGAACTTACTGATGACTCTGGATCTGTGAATGCTACACACCCCTCAATGAATTTACCTCCTGATAGATACTGTCCTGTTTTTTTTAAACAAGCAAGCAAACAAACAAACTTAAATCTACAATGTTAGCACTATCTGTATTTCAGTTTTTTGAGGCTATCATAAATGGATTTTATTTCAATTTTTTCATCCCTTACTAACATTTTTCCCATACAATGTTGCTTGATCATATTTTTTACCCTTTCTCAACTCTTCCAGATCCTCCTTATCTCTCCAAAGAAAAAAAACAAACCAAAAGCCAAAACAAACTAGAAAAAAATACAAAAGATACACACACACACACACACACACACACAGGAGTGTGTTTTGTGTTGGACAACTATTCCTGGGCAAGGGACTAGTCTGGGAGTATGGTTGATAGACCCAGTGATACTCCATGAAAGAAAACTAATTTTCCATTTCCTAACAGGCATCAATTTCAAATGGTTCCTTGCTTGTGGATGGGACTTTATGTCCACTTTCTCTTCTCTGTCCTGGAATGTTTTTCTGGTCTGAACCTGTGTAGGTCTGCATATTATCACAGTGACTGTGAGTTCATCTGTGCATTAATCCTGTTGTGTTTGGAAGATGTTGTTTCCTTGGAGTCATCCATCACCTCTGGTTCTCCCAATCTTTCTGCTTTGTCTTCTGCACAGATCCCTGAGCCTTGAGAGAAGGGGTTTGATGGAGACATCCCATTTAGGATTGTATGCTCCAAAGTTTTTCTCTCTGCACACTGTCTAGTTGTGGGTCTCGTTGTTAATTATCATCTATTTCAAGAAGCTTTCCTGATAAGGGTTGCTTGTTGCTCTAATGTATAGATTTAGCAATGTGTCATTTGGAGTCATTTTATTGTTATGCTCCTTCAAAAGAATAACAGGCCACTTTAGCAGTGTCAAGTATGGCTTCAATCTCACAGAGTGGACCTTAAATTCAATCAAATCACTATTGGTTACTTCCATAACTTTTGTGCGACTATTATACCAGTGTATCTTTCTGGTAGGTTGCTGTTGTATGTGGAAGGATTTGTAGCTGAGAGATATTGAAGATTACTTTTCTCCTCCAGTATCCTGCAAAGTGCCTTTTAGCATCATTAACACTAGTCAGTAGGGAGAAAGCTTCCAGTTGGGCATCAGCTCAATTTCTCTGTATTCAATGACATAATTAAGTTGTGTTTCCAGCAATAGGACCTTACAATCAAGTTGTGGTCCTGATGAAACCCATTTTTGGCACTGGAAGTTTTATTTTGTCACATAAGATGTCTACTTGGGCCGTTGTGTGCGCCACTATAAAGTGATTTCTACACATTGACCTACCTTATCTTATGGACTTGCTAAACGTAGTTCTAAGAGCTTTCTGCTCTAGAGTTTATAACACACATCTTGTACTTAACCACAGAGATCCTTCTCATGCATGATGCTGTCCCTTTCATATACAATATAAGAACATTTTTTTTCAAGAGAAGAATTTTATTTTAGAGTCAGAATTGTAGACAAGCTACTTCCTTTCATAAACAAAATCACATTGCTTTATTCTTTTGAGACAATCTCAATCTATAGCCCAGGCTAGCCTCAAACTTGTGTTCAACTTCCCTAGTGCCTGGGTAGTCACTGTGTAGAACTATGCAAGGCCCTTGTAAAAGCCTTGCTCATAGTTGTCCTGAATTGCTTATATTTTGTCTATGGCTGCTCCCATCCTGAAATAGCAAAGTAGAGTAACTCAGGCTGAGGGCACACAATGAATGAAGCATAAAATATTTACTATCTCCCCCTTTGAGAAACATCCCATCAACCTCCATCTTATAGTCAGTTGAAGAAACAATTGAATCCCAGCATTTAGGCACAGTTCTGTAATTCTAGCACCGAGGAAGCTGAGGCAGGAGGATCATCACAACTTCAAGGTCAGTCTGATCTACCCAGTGAGTAGGTAGTCTGGACCCT